GGGGGGGAGAGAGAACACACATTTTGGAAGATGCAAATAGAATTCAAAATGACTTTGACCACTTGCAGAATTGGTCTGAAATTTAATACAGGCAAGTGCAAAGAACTTCCCTGAGGAAGGAAAAATCAAATGCACAAGTACAAAATAGGGGACTGGCCAGGCAGTAGCACTGTGGAAAATGATCTGAGGTAGAGTGGATCACAGACTGAAGAGGAGTCAACAATGTGATGCAACTGCAAAAAGAGCTAAAAATATTCTGGGCTCTACTAACAGGAGGGTCATAGGTAAGATCCAGGAGGTAACTGTCCCAGTCCACTTGGCACTGGTGAAGTCTCAGTTTTGGGCACCACAGTTTAGGACACAAGGTGGGCCAATAGCAGAGTTGAGAGGAGAGGAACAAAAATGATAAAAGGTTTAGCTACTCTGACCTGTGAGGAAATGTTAAATATAACTGGGCATGTTTAGTCCTGAGAAGAGAAGACTGAGGAGTGAATTGATTGTCAGGACTGTTGTAAAGAGGACAGCGATCACTGTTCTCCATGTCTGCTGAAGGTAGGCCAAGAAGTAACAGGCTTTCTTTGTAGCAACAGAGATTTCGGGTAGATATTAGGAAGAACCCCTTTCCAACTATAAGGATAGTCAAGCTCCTGAACAGGCTTCTATGTTGTAGAATGTCCCTCTCTGGAATTTTTTAAGACCAGGTTGGACAAACACCTGCCAGGAATAATTTACATGGTCCTGCCTCCACTCGGGAAAGGACTTGATGACTTCCGAAGGTGCTTTCCAGCCCAACAGTCTATGGTTCAGCAACAACTATTTCTCCATTATTGGGGCATATTCACCTAGGGTCTAGGTTAACTTCCTCCTGTACTGATTCTGGCAGAGAGGGTTTTGTGGAGTTGGAAGATGCTATCACTTTCCTTCCTGTTAGGTCTGAGGAAACCAACTCTGAGCAAAGACTGGCTGAAGAGGGGGCTTAGTGAAGGTTGTCAGTGATATACCGAGTTAACTACACCCTCAGCAGCCATGTGGTTCTTATGCAGTCCAGGTGGAAATTAAAAGCTGTTTTTGGAAACCTGGTGGTGTGTAGTCCATGGTGCTGCTGCCTGCCCTACTTCAGAGAAATCCCCCATGGGATGCAGCAGGCCATGCCAACAGAGAGGCACAATCTGCCCTATTAGGTGTGTCTAAACTACAAGGTTTTGTCGACAAAAGTGGACTTTTGTTGACAAAACTATACCTGCATCTACACTGCCATTGAGTTCTGTGGACATAACGTCGACAGAACTCAGCAGTTTTGTCAACGGCTGTAAACCTCATTCTACGAGGAATAACACCTTTTGCCGACAGAGTTCTGTCGACAGAAGGCGTTATTGCATCTATGCTGTCCTTAGCGTCTACACTGTCATGTCAACAAAGCGGCTTGCTTTGTCGACAGAACTGGATGTAGTCTAGATGCTCTTTGTCGACAGAAGCTTTGTTGACAATATCTGTCAACAAAACTTCTGTTGACAAAAGCCTGTAGTCTAGATGTACCCTTAGAGCCCTGTCCCTTTTTGTTTTCTGTCTTTTAGCAAGAGACAATGATGCTACTCTCAACACAAGAGGAATAATTACATCTTAGCAGATCATGCACTAAATCTGTGAAACATGAATATACACAAGTGTGTCTGTGAGCCATTTTCATATCTCTACTCTCTTACAATTTTTGGTAGCTGGCACTGATTCTCTTCTCCATTATTATTTCCTCCTTTCCTACCATGGCAATAGACTGAGAGAAAGCACTCACTCTCCTGAGTGAGAATCTCTGGCCACAGAATTGGGCTCTTCTTTGGTGGCCGCTTCTAATCAAGCACCCTACTCCGAACCCCCATCTCTGTCCTTTTGGCTAAAAAGGAAGTTTGCAATTTTAGTGCCACTAAACGTGTTCATGATGATTTATTTTCCCCCTGCTTTTAGCATTGAGGGGATGACTCACTGAGGCTAGTCCAACTGTCCTCAATTGCTTGTAAATCAAGATCTGATTAGGAAGTGATATATTCATTTCTAGCTCCTGCATAAAAGTTATTCAAGTATTTTGACAAAATAAGTGCTGTTTACTTTATACATTTTCTGCTAATTGTAAAGATTTCTGCAAACCTAAAGGAGCTCATGGAATTTACCGGATTGTGGTTTAGCTATTGAAAGTATAAAGGCATGCTAAATTAAGTTGATTTGCCTGTGAAAGGAACACGTCCATTATTCATGTCAGGGCCCTGTCACATCAAATTGAGAGAGTGAAGAAAACCCTTTTTTATCAAAGTTTAGAAGCAAGGGAAAAAAACAAGCATTGAGGGACTGAATTTCAATTGGTAGAAAGTCACTCTGAAAGCAGGGTTAAAAAAAATGTCGGGAACTTGTCTAATGTTGAAAATCAGCAAAGAGTAGATTGATTTAACTTTGGCTGGAACTTCTTGTAGAGAAAGCCAGAATGGGACTTCTTAAAGCAGCGAGTAGCACACATAATCTTGGTGTCTCTCATGTGTAAACTTGTCAAAAGTAGTTAAGCTGATTCAGGTTTAAATCTTTTCAGATCCCTTTTTCACTAACACTTTTAAAATAAATGTAAAATGAAATGTGAAGTGGATAGAACAACATCTTTTCCCAAGATTAATATTTTTAGACATTGATTGGTTTATGTAGCTTGCCTAATATGTATTTCACATCAACTTCTAAACATAAAATTCCAAAGAAAGAAAGTTAAAAAGCAAGGTTGGTTTTGTTCTGGGTTTTTTTTTTTTAAAGTTGTGACTGATGCATAAAACTGGATGGTCAAATTTTATGTGCCTTCCTCTGACAAATAATGAACTAACAAGGGATTGGTAAGATAAATTTACATTGTCATTGTATTTTTAAAAATATTCCATTATTTAATACTCCCAATAAAATCTCGCACAGGTTTTATAAAAGAGCAGTCTTGTATTCATAAAGATATACATATATGCATATACACATACAGCTCACAGACACACCATACTATTTTTCACGCACAAAAGTAAATTTCAAGATCTATGTGAGATTCACGTAATATATTAAAATGGTTTCTGCCTGACTGGTTATCATATCTAGTGTAACACATTTTTAAAAGCTAACAGAACATTTTCACAAGTACTATTCTTAAAAGCACTAGGTGTAAAGTAGCATTTCACAAACTCCTGCTCAGAACATATGTTTGTTTTTTACTGGACATCTAAAAGCTGGAAAAACTTAATCAGCAAATGGTCTAGAAACACCTTAAAGACTAACAAAACATGTAGCTGATATCGTGAGCTTTTGTGGGTACAACCTACTTCTTCCATGAAAGCAGATGGTACCATCTACATGTTTTATTAGTCTTTAAGGTGCCGCTAGACCATTCGTTGTTTTTTAAGTTTTTCCAGTTACAGACTAA